ATTGATCAGTGGATGTCAGGCAGGCCTCTTCAATGTCAACAAGAACAGATAGGTTGTGTCATTAAAAAAAAAAAAAAAAAAAGAAAGAAAAAGAAGGCCGGGCGCGGTGGCTCACGACTGTAATCCCAGCACTTTGGGAGGCCGAGGCGAGTGGATCACAAGGTCAAGAGATCGAGACTATCCTGGTCAATGTGTGAAACCCTGTCTCTATTAAAAATACAAAAACTTAGCTGGGCATGGTGGTACGTGCCTGTAATCCCAGCTACTCAGGAGGCTGAGGCAGAACTGCCTGCACCCAGGAGGCGGAGGTTGTGGTGAGCTGAGATAGCGCCATTGCACTCCAGCCTGGGTAACAAGAGCGAAACTCCGTCTCAAAAAGAAAAAGAAAAAAAGACTTAGGGATTGTGAAGAGAACCATCAGGGCCCAAGATCCACACTGCTTACACCTCCTGTTTTCTAAAGGCCAGTCACTTTCATGTCAGAATTTAAGGATCAATGGAGAGAAATGTGAACAAGGCAGCGCAAAGGGCATGAACCCTGTTTCATTATTTATAAAAATAGGGACAATATGACCTGTGTTAGAGGAGATTAAACTTACCACAGGATAACTAAAATCTGAACCTAAAAACTCATTAAGGTGCATTTACCTAAGAATTTTACATAACATAAAACACAAAGAGACAAATAGTTTACAGAGGAGAATATGAAAACTTGCACAAGGAATTCATCTACCATTAACAAACTGCTGAACTAAGATAGTTTACATTCCTAATAGCTATATAATTCCACCTGTCTATTTGTTGTATTAAGAAACAATCCTGCTTCCTAGTGGGGGCAAAATATTACTTCCATGCTACTCACAAACCTCAGCATGTTTGCCTTTTTAGAAAACTGCACATTTTCTGAAGTGACTGTAATGGAAACGGAACCTTAGATCATGCTCACCACAGCATGCTTAACAAATATTTCAATATGTGTTTCATAAAATGGTGAAATGAATGGAAATGCCATATCATCAGGGTTTATTTTAAGCATAAACTTTTAAGTTCTCTTATTACTCAGAAATATGGTTTAACATAAGCTAAACACCATTGTGGGGATAAGAGATGAACAGCAGAAAACCTTAACACTGAAAATGAGTTAAACCTTACCCCAGATACCTCAGCAATTAAGAAAGTTGGTTTCAGTCAGTTATTGCCACATATGTTTAATGGAGGATTAAGTGACTGAATGTCGAGCTATAATATATATCTTTATGTAAGCGATTATTGTGTTTAAAAACAGACAAGGCCATACTGTTAATCTGTAACACTACTGACACATGTCTGTACACACCTCCCCCTATTCAGAGATGGACTGAAAAAAGAAAAGGCAGATTAAAAAGAAGTGTTTTGGGCCAGGCGTGGTGGCTCACACCTGTAATCCCAACACTTTGGGGAGGCCAAGGCAGGCGAATCACCTAAGGTCAGGAGTTTGAGATCAGCCTGGCCAACATGGCGAAACCCTGTCTCTACTGAAAATACAAAAATTAGCTGGGCATGGTGGCACATGCCTGTGGTCCCAGCTACTCAGGAGGCTAAGGTTGGAGAATTGCATGAATCCAGGAGGCAGAGGCTACAGTTAGCAGAGATCATGCCACTGTACTCTAGCCTGGGCAACAGAGAGAGAGACTCCATCTCAAAAAAAAAAATTATTTTAAAGTCAAATCACATTTTACCTCCCACAGGGAAATGAAGTGACTTTCCCAAGTAATTTATAGATAGTAAGCAGCAGTCAGTGACTGCAAATCCAGTTCTATTTCACCATGTGATTGCTTTCCTTTTCTGGGGAAGAGAATACTGTTTTAACCACTATTATGTTGCCTTCAAATGGTATTTGGTGTGTTAGACTCTTTAAGAAAAGCCCCTGCTGCTACAACTTGTCTTTTTTCCTGTGAGGATCACTCTACCTAAGGTTAAGTAAAGGAACACTGATGAATAAATACCTTGCAGCCAAGAGTTACAGAGCAGAGATACATGGTTGCCTAGCAGTAGCCTTTCACTGTTGAACGCAAAGCACATATCAGGGGAAAATGCGATAGAGGAATTCCGTGTGCTCAGGGACTTCCTTTAACTGGGTGTTCCCCTAGTTGGTGAGAACTAGAAATGGCCGCGGGACTCAGCTCTGAGCAGAGCCCTGTTCCCAAGGGATGACTCCTTCTGAAAAAGATAAATAATCTAAAAGTTTGCCTGTGTAGTACTTATTATTCAAAAATCAGAAGCATTCCCTATTTGACTTGACTGAATGTGTATCACTCAAACAGCACAAGTATAATTACAAAGGTATTCTGACCCTAAGAAACACAGTCTTATAACTAAGAAGGTAAAAAAAAGTTATAATTTGATTAGGGAGATGCATAATTTGAAGGCAGGTATTCATTTGCATTTTGCTACATAATATAATGCTTTACATTTATCCAGGAAATAGTTAAAATATATAAGGTACCTATAAAAAGTTACATTTTTCATGGACGAAAACTGCCAACGAGATCCCATATGCTTTTATACTACAACTCTCAGTAATTTTACCCATCCCTCCTGGTGACACTCCAGTGTTAAGGCTGTGAGCCATCACCTAAGACCTGCTGTTGTGGGGTACAGGCTGACTGCCTCCAAAGAAATGAGAAGCCACTGTGGGTCTTAGCTTACAAATCCAGCCCTATGACATGACGACTGGCGTAACCATCTTTACATGTCCCCTATTCATCTCTGACATGAAACAAATCATGTGAATGAATGAGATCTGACAGAACAGCATTAAGAAAAATATTAAAATGTAAAAGCAGAATTGTCCTATTGTCTGTGCTAACTGGAATCTGAATACTTTATCATCTCTGGTTTGAATGGTGGACTTGTTTTTCTCTCGTGTGTGAATTTTAGTGCGGAAAATATTAAGTTTCTTAACACAAAATTGTTTTGGATAAAGGACAGATTTTTTAGAGAGTTAGTTGCAACATTCTGGGAAGCCGACTAGAAAAACACACCAGCCAAAAGATAAACACTGAAAAAGATTTACATTATTTTCTTTTGAAAAAAGATCTACATTTTTTTCTCCTATCAGTGAATGTTGAGGTACAGACAGCATGGAAGGCCTGGCCTGGGAAAGGCTGAGCCAAGCGCAGCTGCAGGAGCCCACACTTCACAGAAACTCACTGTTGAACAGTAAGTTTTAGCAGAAAAGGCTGTTTTTCTGCCTCAGCTCCTCGTGGGCTGGTGCTACCAACCACCAGCCAAAAGTACACATCAGTTGCTTATTATGATGTGCCCATTGCTTCACTTTTGCCTGGGTCTGGAATAGACCCTGAACTAGATGTCTTGTCTGACAGTACAGGGAGCTGAAGAGCTGCTGCCTGAGGCCCTGGTTCAATCCCTGACTCTTCCACTCACTACCTGGTGACACAAGCAGATGGCCTGACTTGTTTATTGTCTCTAAAATGGGGATCATAACTCCCACCTCTTAGGGTTACTAAGGAGAATCAATCAATGGATACATGGAAATCCCTAAAACTCTCCCCAGAAGTGGCAGAGTTCAATAAGGGCCAATGAGGACCAGCTATAAATGGCAGCTGCATCAGCATGCATGCTCCCTCACTCTCCATCACAAGGATGGCTCCCAGACTGTGGGGCCCCTACCTAGACTGGTTTCTCTGTTTCATAAACTTGCCATGGCATCGGGCAGATTCAGCTTGACCCAGACACCCCTGAAAAGCTGATAGAATGAATGAAATCTCCAAAAGAACAGGAGGTCTGTCTATGGGTCTTTCACTATTTCACCTCTGGCACTTACAATCGTGCCTGGCACAAAATTAGCACTTCACAAATATTTGCTGAATAAATGAATGGCTGAAGGCAAGAATCTGGAATTCTGCTAAACAGGAATCTAGGCATTAGATTCAACAGTCTTAGGCAAGGAGATATTTAAGTCACACTCATGACTACCCAAACCCACTCAATTACTATAATGAAAACAGCACATCTCCAATATAGAGAGTTTTTCCCATATGCAGTTTTTGAGACAGTCAGAAAATTTATCAGATAGTCAGGCTCAGCTGTAAATATAACCATCGATATATTGCAAGTATCTAACCTATAAATATTTGTAAGAAAATTTCCATGTTTTTACATTCATACATGAAAAATCATGATCACTTCCATTTACAATTAAATTTTCAGTAAAAATATTCAAAAGTTACTGAGAAAATTGCATAGGAAAACAAGAATTGTGATACCTCAAAGAGCAGATTTAATTAAGTTCTAATTTTTCAACAGGTTAAAAAAAATCTAACCCAATGTCTTGGAATTTTTTGAAAATGTGTAGCTAAACTTTCAGAAAAATAAATGAAGGAATAAAAAATAAATGAGTTCTTTAGGCTCAAAAATACACTGTGATCTGTTAAAATCTAAAGGCAAATTTTCTGAGAGTTTATGACAAATAAAAAATTTTTCTATTAGAGTATAAGTAACATTTTGAAAGCTGAAACCTGAATATCCTGGTACCTGATTAAATCATGGCAACTAAAAATTAATATGCTCAGGACACAGTGAGACAGATGCTTAGAATACAATGCACAGCTAAAATATTTCTTTCTTTTTTTTTTTCTTTCTTTCGAGACGATGTTTTGTTCTTGTTGACCAGGCTGGAGTGCAATGGCACAAGCTCTGCTCACTGCAACCTCCAGCTCCCGGGTTCAGGCGATTCTCCTGTCTCATTCTCCCGAGTAGCTGGGATTACAGGTGTCTGCTACCATGCCCAGGTAATTTTTATATTTTTAGTTAGAGACGAGCTGGTCTCTAACTCCTGACCTCAGGGGATCCACCTGCCTTGGCCTCCCAAAGTGCTGGGATTACAAGCAAGAGCCACTGTGCCCAGCCTAAAGCATATCCGTAAATAAATTTTAAAAAAATATGGAGAAAGATAAAACAGCTTTCATTATAGATGGTGCTATTTTGGTTTTGTTTTACCTTCAACCATGAGCATGGGCTCCCTCCCTCCACCGTGGGCCAGCATCTCCCTGCGATAGCGCTCCCCGGCGGCCCTGGGGAAGAAAGGATTCATTACAGACATCTGCTTGCACAGCCTGCCCAGCCTCCATTAACACTTACCTTGAATTCTCAAAGGAAGCCACACTGATGTCATATTCATAAAAGCTGCCACTGTGTGATAATTTGGCCCTTAGTTATTTTCTTGCTTCTAAAAATTCTGGCTTTTAAGTTGTTCTAAAATAAATTAAATCAGGTGTGACATATTCTCTGTAAGAGGATAACTGTACTTATGGCTTTCTGTTTTGTTAACAAGAGACTTCACCTTATAAAAATAATTACTTTCTGTATTATACAACAGTGGTCTCCAACCTTTTTGGCACCAGGGACTGGTTTTGTGAAAGACAATTTTTCCACAGACCAGGGTTGGTGGAGGGGATGGTTTCAGGATGGCTTAACCACATTACATTTATTGTGCACTTTATTTCTATTATTACATTATACATTGCAATATATAGTGAAATAATTATACAACTCACCATAATGTAGAATCACTGGGAGCCCTGAGCTTGTTTTTCTACAACTAGATGGTACCATCTAGGCGTGATGGGAGACAGTGACAGATCATCAGGCCTCAGATTCTCATAAGGAGCACCCAGCCTAGATCCTTATTGTGAGAGCATCGTAAGGATCACATGTGTAGTTCACAATAGGATTCCTGCCCCTTTGAGAATCTAACCCTGCCTCTGATCCGACAGGAGATAGAGCTCAGGTGGCGTGATGGAAAGCGGCTGCAAATACAGATGAAGCTTCACTCGCTCACCCACCTCTGCTCACCTCCTGCTGTGTGGCCCAGTTCCCAGTACCAGTCTGTGGCCTGGGGGCTGGGGGCTCTTGTTATAGAACAAATAAGAGATTATACTTTATTCTCTGTAAGTTTAAGGATTATTTTAAATGAGGCTTGAAATTATTTATGCCATTAAGAAAGAATTTGGGATGGCACCTAATAGAGAAAAAGGACACTCTAAAATACGAGTGAGGGGAGAGAAGTTGGCAGGAAAAGGTTCATTGCACCAGAAAACCTTGGTTCAGGATAACAGTTAACAGACCAGCAACCCACTGGAATGTGCTGGTGGGAAAGGCACAGTGGAGGCTGCCTTGTTCTGTGTCAGCTGGATATGCCTACGTACAGAGTTCCACAAGGAATACCGTCTGTGACAATATGTGAAGGTAGGTCTTGAATAATTTTTGTAGACATACATCTGTCAAAGGTACCTGGAAACAAGGCTATTTAGTACTTTAGTACTCTTTTGTATTTTATGAAAAATGCAATTCCTTTAACACACATGACTACACACTCTGATGAGACAGGTTAAATAAATTTTGATATTGTTGCCATTTGAGAAGCTCTGGAGCCTCTTTACATGTGGGTCATTTTGTGAACATGGTCTTTCATCAGACTTTTTGAGAGCATTACAGCATTAAAAACATGCTGACATCAAACCCTAGCCCTGGTCACAACCTGAAGTGAGTGCTAAGCAAAGCAGGAAGCCTGAACTGAGGCGGAGCCTCCTCAGGGGCAGGGGTAGCTGAGGGGCCCTGCCTGACTCCTGGCCTGGGCGCGCTGAAGCCCTTCTCAGCCACAGCATGTAGTGACCTGACCCTAAATCAAATCCCTCCCGACAGGCCTCTAGCTCCTGGCTTGCCTCAGCTCTGCAATGCCTGGCTTTCTGATGTAGGCTCCAGCCTGGTTATTTTTTTCAGAAGTGAGATCAAAAAGGAGACTTTGACAGAGGTTAGAAATTTTCTAGTCCAGTGAGCCTTTTTACTAGCTGACTTTAATGTACCCATAAAAGTATGGCAACTACATGTCTGGGCAAGAATGTACACATAAACAAGATATAAATATTTAGAAACGTATATATTTTATAGTATGTGCTTTTCTACTTCAAACAAGATGATATTTTGCCTATTTTACAGAAATCTACAGCAAAAAGTTATAATCCCTGAAACTGATTTGCTGATGTCAGGTTTGGCTAAAGAGCCTTAAAAAATAAAATCTGAAAAGCAGACCAAATGTCTACAGTCTGCAGAGGGCAGAAGACAAAATATATGTGAGCACCAAGTTGCAAAATATTTAAAAATTCTATGACATCACATTCAGGTTCAAAGCACTTGAAACCATGTGATTATTAACTGTTGAGAAAATCCAAGCCTATGTCAAAGTGTATGAAAGAGGTGAGGCAGAGGTGGAAGGAGATGAAACCAGGAATGAGATGAAACCAGGAATGAGAACACCTAGATTATAGTCTCAGTTCAGGTGTTAACGGTGAAGCCTAAACAAACTGTTTTCTCTGAGCCTCAGTTTCCTCTTAGAAAAAGTGCTGGTTTCTGCCAAGACTGCTGTGAATACTGTGTGAAAACTCTAGGACACTCTAAAAACCAAGATAAAGCAGTAAAAATATACTCATTAGCCAGAGCTCCCTGAAAAGAATCTGGAGATGTAGTTATTTGTGTGGTGAAAAGATAAATGCTACAAACAACTCTGACACCAGATTATGATTACTGGTTTGTATTCAAAGAAAGTGCCTTCTAAGGAATCACAGGACCTGCTGGTTCCTACTGTTATAAGGAGTCCTGTTAGGAGGGTCAGGAGGCCAAATCAGGGAGCAAGAGAAGAGCTCCTGCACCCCTCCAGCCAGCATGGGATCCCCCCCACACCCCCAGACAGCAAGGGATCCCTGACACACCCCAGATAGCAAGGGACCCTGATGTACCCCAGACAGCAAAGGATCCCCCCACACACCCCCGCAAGACAGCACAGGATCTCCTGCACCTCCCCAGACAGCATGGGATCCCCCATGCCCCCTCAGACAGCATGGGACTCCCTGGACCTCCCCAGCCAGCACAGGATCCCCTGTACCCTTCCAGCCAGCATGAGATCCCCTGCACCTCCCCAGACAGCACGGGATCCCCCGTAATCACAGCCTCAGCATGGGATCCCCTGTACTCCCCAGCCACATCACCAGATCCCCCATACTTCCTAACCCAGCACAGGATCTCCCACACTCCGGCACCCCCTGCCACAGCAAGGGATTCCCCACACTCCCCCAGCCAGCACGGGATCCCCCACACTCCCCCAAGCCAGGATGGCATTGCCCACACTCTCCCAGACAGCAAGGGATCCCCCGCACTCCTCCAGATAGCACAGGATCCCCTGTACTCCTAGCCACAGCATGGGATCCCCTGTACTCCCCAGCTACATCACCAGATTCCCCACACTCCCCCACCCAGCACGGGATCCTCCACACTCCTCCAGCCAGCACGGGACCTCCACACCCGCACCCCTGAACCACAGCATGGAATCCCCTGCACCACCACCCCCAAGCGACAGAAGGGATCCTCTGCACCCCCCAGCCACAGTAAGAGATCCCCTGCACTCCCCCAGGCAGCATGGGACCCCCTGCACTCCCCAGCCACAGCAAGTTATCCCCCACACTGCCCCAGCCACAGCAAGGGATACTCCACAACCCCCAGCCACAGCAAGGGATCCCTGTACCCCCCAGCCACAGCATGGGATCCCCTGCATTCCCTGGCCACAGCTTGGGAGTCCCTGCATCCCCCAGCCAGAGCAGGGAATCCCCACACCCCCCCATGCCACAGCACAGGATCCCCCGCATTCCCCGACTGAGCATGGGATCCCCCATACTTCCCCAGCCAGCATGGGATTCCCACACCCCCACCCAGCCCGAGATCCCCTATACCCCCAACCGCAACATGGGATCCCCTGTACCCCCACCCAGCATGGGATCCCCTGTATCCCCTTAGCCACAGCATGGGATCCCTCACACCCCCTAGGAATAAAGGGATCCCCTGCACCTCTCCACCCAATGGAAGTTTAACCACTACCTGGGCTTTAGGAAGAGCTGGGAAAACAGGACTATTGATCCTAAGCACCCCTACTTCCTCCCTACAACGCCTCCAGCCGCTCCAGTGCCTTGTTCTGCCTCCATTCTGGGGAAAGGAGTGGGCATCCTGTATGACGTGGTGAAGTCAGAAAAGCCAAGAAAACCCACAGAAGTGGCATAGACTGCTTCATGTAGCACCTGAGCCCTCAGAAAAGGGTCCCCTTAGGCACGACATGGCCCACCACTACAGGACAGCACTGAAGGGTAGGGGGACATCCAGGGCACCATCAGCTGCAGCAAGCAGAAGCAGCCTCGGGGGGGAAGGGCTGAGAGGAGTGGGGCTGCCCGGGAGCCTGCCACTTTCAGCTGTGTTCTGAGGGCTGCGGTTCTCCAAGCCCGACTTCAAATGTATTAGGGTGGGAGATTACTGTGGTCCAAGGCAGGGACGTTTTAGAACGTATTCCCTTCTTACCTGTTGAAAGGATCCTGTAGAAAACATTCCTTCCAAACCATGCAGGCGACTGCCCTGGACATGAGGTAAGAGTAATACTTGGCACCATACCCCACGAGGTGGCTGAACCGCAGCTGCCAGGCCTGCCAAGAGCAGAGACACAGCACAGGACATAAATCAGTTTCCGCCTGGAGCATATCACATGTGAGAAACAATGGGGACACAGAGACCTGTACATGTTTTCATTTGCATTTAACCCTAGAAGGCTATGTCACCTATGATATTAATATTTTCACATTATACACTGTTATTGGCTGAACTGTGTCTCCTCAAAATTCACATGTTGAAACCCCAAGCCACACCTCAGAATGTGACTTATTAGGAGACAGGGCCTCCAAAGAAGTAATTCCGTAAAAGTGAGGCTCTTCAGCTGAGCCCTGGCCCAATCTCACTGATGCCCTGGAAGAAGAGGAAAGCTGGATGCCAGGGTGTGGGTGCAGAGGAAAGGCTGTCTGGAAGCCAAGGGGGCCTCAGCAGAAGCCAGACCTGCTGACACCTTGGTCTGGACTTCCAGCCTCCAGAACAATGCAAAGTAAATTTTTGTTGTTTAAGCCACACAGTGTTTTGTGAATGCAGCCCTGGCATGCTAAGACATACACAAAGAACATTTGTATCACATAATCATATATATATGCATATGTTGCTCCAAATATATGGTTAATCTTCATTAAGTGAGTTTAATTGCTTACACTGATTATAATATATTTTATTCTACATGACTATCTAGAAAAAGGACAGTCATGAGTTTACTTATTTTTAATAATTTGGTTAGTTCAGAGAGTTGTACTCTGCAATGATTCTCTGTTGCATGTACTGCTTTTCATGAACCAGTTTTTATAACACAAAAACTTCCATGTTTTTATCATAATTACATTTTATGACAAAGCAAGATGACACAGAGCAGAAGAAAAATGGGATGAAGTTTTAAAATCTTGAGTAAAGAGAGGTAATCTGGGAATGCATTTTTTTTTCAGAAGAGACAAATGCTAAGAACCAAAGATAATCACCAGCAACTCGCCTCTCCATGGAAGGGTCAACCAACTGTCTGTGGTCCTCCTTCCTAAGCTCCTTCCACTTATTTTCTAATCATAAGAAGGAAGAAGTGCACGCCTAATTGTTTTGTACAAGTTCATCACTCTGGGATTCACTTCTGTGACAGAAACATAGAGAAGACAGCCCAGAGACAGTGGCAGGAGTCGATGGCGGAGCCGGGTGGATGTGCACATCTGTCCTAACCCACTTGGAATGTCATCGACATCGGAGGAGGGAATTTGGAGTCTGGCACAAAGAGAGTACATCATTCTTTTTAAGGACAATGATGTAGTTGTGATAGAAAAGGCCACGTGGATTTTCATGGAAGGATACTGTTCCACTGGAAACTTCTTTTCCTATGAATACTGCTCTTTCTCTGTCCCTAAAGTGGGAAACACCTGCGGTCTGACCTGTCAGCACGTGCAGGTCCATGCAAGCATAGCACGTGAGCTCGTGATGGCTCATTGGCTGTAACGTCACCCCAGCCAAAGCTGGGACTATGAAAACTGTCCTCAAAGGCCACATTTAGGACTTTAACATTTTTACTTTTCTGAAAGAAACAAATCTGACAAGCAATCATCCACTTTCTTCTATGTTTTTATCTGAAGTAAACATTTCTTTTAAAAAATAGAAGCTTGGGCTGGGCACAGTGGCTCATGCCTGTAAACCCAGCACATTGGGAGGCTGAGGCAGCTGAGTCACTTGAGGCCAGGAATTCAAGACCAGCCACGCCAACATGATGAAACCCTGTCTCTACTAAAAATACAAAAATTAGCTGGGCATGGCAGCGCATGTCTGTAATCTCAACTACTCGGGAGGCTGAAACAGGAGAACTGCTTGAACCTCAGGAGGCGGAGGCTGCAATGAGCCAAGATCATACCACTGCACTCCAGCCTGGGTGACAGAGCAAGAATCTGTCTCAATAATAATAATAATAATAATAATAAATAATACAATAAATTTTTTTAAAAGCTTAACTTTTTAAAATGATAACGTGCTAAGAAATCTGTTAACTCTCTAGAAAATAGAGAATAAAGAAAGTAAAATCCTTGCTACAATTCTATAAACTAGATTAGTGAATTCTAGTTAACTTATCAAGCAAGATACATTTTAAAAGATATGGTTACTTCATCACAGGAACGTGGCAGCATACTCCCTGTATCCACTATACAGTGGCTTAAAAGACTCATGGCAATGCTAGCGACTCCCTGTTTGTGTCCGATTCGCCTGGGTTCGGCAAGGGTTCTGTCATAAGGAAGGTGTGTGGGAGCCATCAATCTAGGACATGGGGCCAGCACCGCCAAGACGCACAATGCGCCTCCACATCCGCTCTTCTCTTTGTGTAAGAGGATATGATTGGAAGTCAGGTGGGTACCTTGTGAGTGGTGTCCTGAAGGAACGAGCCACGCCCCTTCCTCCCTGGGGACGCAGCCACTCAGGAGTGTGGGCCTGTGATGGGGCAGCCACCTCGTGCCGGGCAGGTGCACTCGAACAGCTACTGTTTTGGGTCTGTCACAGCAACCAAACCTGTATCCTACCTCGCAAGATACCCCAACCCCCGGCCCAGGTGCTACCCCCACACAGTACCATGAAAATACAACCAATGGTGGGGCTGAGGCTCCTGGTGGTGCAACAGATGCCATGCCCTTGGTGAAGCTATGCCCTAGGTGGGAGGAGCTAGACACTTGAAATGTGGCCTGCACAGTTTCTTGGCCACAAGGCCCCTCCAGCACAGTGAAGGGCAGAGAAAGGCAGGCACAGACTTTTCATCCTGTTGAGATGCAAGTGGTATTTAAAACAAAAGCAAAGAGCCTAGGATCATCTATGAATTAAATTCCAGTACAACAAACTTTGAATAATTACATTTTTAGTCAAAAGGCTTTTAAAATTCATTTACAACATACACACAGTTCCATATACTCTATCTTATGTAAAAAGGGTATGTGTCAGTTTTCTGTTATGCTGGAATCCTAATCTACTAAATGATGAGAACACATGGACCCCTGGTAGCCTGTCTCATATGAAGCAGTTTGGATGTGAGGATATCTTCTGTGATGGACTGCAGCATGCTGCTTCAATCTCATACTACACCAAGATACCGGTGCTCGTGCAACTGATGATAACTGTCTCTCAGGGTGGAAGCCCCAGAATCCGTAGCATCCAGCTAAGGGGCTTTGTGAAACTTTTTCTTCATGGTGATTTGCCAGAACTAGTTTGGCAGGCTTTGCAGTATAGAGCAGAATTTAATTCTGTTCAGATTCAAGCTGAATACAGCTTTGTTTTACCTTGAAAGCAGGCCCACTTCAATAGTGGTATTTGATCTGAGCTAAGAAATGTCTAAGTTCCCTGGTTTCAACAACTTGTAACTGAGTTCCCGCATAAACAGAGTAATAAAAATAAGATCTCTCAGAATGGTAGAAAGAGACATCAGGATTTGTGCGCACACCATTTCCTGGCCAGCCCCGGTTCTGCCTTATCCAGACCCCCCGGCTGAATCCAGGTCTTCTGGCACACACATGCCTGGCTGTGTCTTGCTCTTTAATTACAGGTTTGGGTTCAGGACTGCACCTCAAGACATGCTAGATAAATTATCTCCACCTGACACCTTTCATCATAGGTTTGCAAGTCTATGGCCAACTAAGACCTACAATTCCACTGTTGTTTGAACACAATTGCTGAATTCCTGCTAATTCAACCTAACATTAAGTCCGAATTGCCATTTCACTCATTCATCTGGAAAAATGAAAGATAGCATTTCATCTTAAGCTCTGGAATTATGATATCCTCTTCCTTTTAAATTGATGTTTTATTCTTCCTAAGGGATATTTGTCAGCTGTATAAAAGCTTTCACCCTTCCTTTAATATTTAATGTGTGGATCTGATTTCAAAACCAAACCATGCAAATGTCTTTGTAGTTTTCCTTTTATTATGGTGAGAGACATAGATTTTCAAATCCTATCACGATCCCAAGGCATGCCCATTTAAACTTTCCTTGAGTTAGATAATCTCAGTGATCCCAAGCAAAAGACAAAACTTTGGGCCAGCAAAGCAGCATGTCAGGAAACCTGTGGATATGGTCACTTGCTTCAGAACTCCAGAGAATGGGCGGCTCTTTGATTATTTGTACTTACCTATAGCCCTTCTCTAATGTCACGATTTTCCAGAGCCAGAGATGGAAAGGTCGCAATGGAGATATTTATTATCGATTTTCAGTTTCAAACCCAGAAGAGGGGCTGGTGCAGAGCAAGCACTCATTAACTGCATGCTAAACATTTAAAGATGGAACTAACCATTTCTCCTGATTATAGTTTTTAAATTTTTTTAACGACAGGGTCTCAATCTGTGGCTCAGGCTGGAGTGCAGTGGCACGAGCATGTCTCAATGTCTCACTGGAGCTCCTGGGCTCAAGTACCCACCCACCTCAGCCTGCTGAGTAGCTGGGACCACAGGCATGGGCCACCATGCCTGGTTAATTTAAAAAAAAGTTTTGTTTTTTAAAGATGAGGATCTCTCTCTGTTGCCCAGGCTAGGTCTGAACCCCTGGGCACAAGTGATCCGCCTTGGCCTCCTAAAGTGTTAGGATTACCAGTGTTAGCCACTGTGCTCAGCCAACTATGCTCTTAAATAGTATACCATTTCTTCATATCCAGCTATACAAGTAGAAATGCATTTAGATGAAATTTATTTTAAAATGATTTTATCACTGGAACATTATAGAGGTGACTCTTGAAAAACACAGGTGGATCCACTTATATATGGATTTCTTTTTCTTTTCTTTTTTTTTTTTTTTTTTTACGATGGTGTTTCACTCTTATTGCCCAGGCTGTAGTGCAATGGTACAACTTAGCTCACTGCAACCTCCACCTCCTGGGTTCAAGCAATTCTCCTGCCTCAGCCTCCCGAGTAGCTGGGGTTACAGGCTACCACGCCTGGCTAATTTTATATACTAAAGTACAGATGGGGTTTTTCCCTGTTGGTCAGGCTAGTCTCAAACTCCCAACCTCAGGCGATCAGCCTGCCTTGGCCTCCCAAAGTGCTGGGATTGCAGGTG